AAGTTGCTGCGAAGGTCAAGCGTTTGCAAATGGCTGAGGCGGCTCAGGCCCGACAATACCTTTACAAACACATCTGAACGCAGTTCGCCGAGCCAGTTGAATCCCAGATCAAGCGTCTCCAACTTGCTCAAACCTGCAAAGACATCTGAGGGCAACTCTCTGAGCGAGTTTTCTTGCAGGTGAAGCGTCTGCAAATTGCTCAAGGCTGCAAAAATGCCCGAGGGCAACTCTGTGAGCCAGGTCCATGCCAGGTAAAGCATCTGCAACTCGCTCAGGCCTGCAAAGACATCTGAGGGCAACTCTCTGAGCACGTTATGTCGCAGATCAAGCATCTGCAAATTGCTCAAGCCTTTAAAGACGTCCGAGGGCAGTTCTCTGAGATTGTTGCGTCCCAGATCAAGCATCCGCAAATTGCTTAAGCCGGCAAAAATGCCTGAGGGCAACTCAATGATCCAGTTGTTTCCCCCCAGGTCAAGTGTCTGCAAATTGCTCAAACCCTCGAAAACGTCTAAGGGCAACTCTATGAGATCGTTGGATCCCAGGTCAAGCGTCCGCAGCAACGGGGTGTGTCCAAATATCTGTGCTGGAAGTGCCCTCAATTGGTTCTCGCTAAGGTCCAGAACCCTCAGCCAAGGACTGCGCTGAAAAAGATCAGCCGGCAGAGCTTCCAATTGGTTTCCATCAATGCGTGTGCGCCCTTCAATGTTGCCCCCGAGCAATAACTGTTCCAAGGCTGGCATTGGGTAAAGGAGGTCATTTGGGAGCTGCTGCAATTCATTTTGACTGAGCGAAAGAACTTTCAATCCAGACAAACCTTCGAAAGTCTCAGACTCTACACTTTGCAAACCCATCCGACCCAGGTCCAAGAGTTGCAAGTCTTTGAGCGGCCAAAAGATCTTCTTGGGCAAAAAATACAAGGGATTCCCCGAAAGCGACAAGCGCTGCAAGCGACGCGAAGACTCAAAGGCGCCCTCTCTGACATTGCTGATGTTCTTACCGCTTAGACTCACATCTGTAAGGCGGAGAACACCTGCGAGGCCACAGCTTTCAAGCTGTTGAAAGTCACCAAAGTCTTTCGAGCAATGGCATGGAAAGCATCCGAAGTCTTTTGAGTGACCAGGGTAGGAGTTGCTTGAAAGCAGCAAACTGAAGATGGCTATCAGCAAGACAGGTGAGTACCTACAGAATCATTGCACTGTGGAACAGAAGAAATGCTACATTGCAACCTCTCCAACAACTACAAAAAGGAGAACACAAAACAGGCCAAACGGTTCTAAACAAAAGGACACAAGTACAGAACAGAACACTAAAAACACTGCCAGTTGACATATTGGGTGCAGTGCTTTGCAAACTACTTTGCATTTCTTGAGACGAAGAAGACTTGCTCTGCGCAACAGTGATGAAGTAGAGCCTTGCAAGCTTGGTGGCATTGTTGAACGTCCTACCCCTTCTAGAGCACGGCAAACGGTACAAACATGGGCAACCGAATAGTAGACAGCAAAGTATCCCAAGAAGTCCGAAGGAAAGGCCAAAGCTGGATCCAACTTCGCAGTAAACTTCACTGCTTCTTCATCACCGAAATTCCCTGATATTTCTTGCTCCAATCCTAGCTCATAGATGGCAAGCAAGGTAAAAACGAGGTACGTGATGGTGTAGGCCATATCAAGAATAGCATCCATCATTGCCCCCCCCAGTCGTGCCCACTTCCTTGAGGGGTACACAAATAAAATGCTTGGATAGAGGCTGTTCAGGCAAAGGAAGCCGACAAAAGTCCAAAAGCAGCGTTCAAGCACATCCGAGAGTTTTGATTGCTGCAGTGAAAGGGATACGATTCCACCCAAGATCTGAAGCTTTCCAAAAGCCTGGAGCAGCACAGTTAGAAGCTGTAGTATGGCCACCTTGATGCTGTAGAACCGCCCTCGCACACCAAAGTACTTCTCATACAACAGCTGAGTGGGTTTTAGCTTCCGATATTTTGCCTGAAAGCTGCCCAAGTCCCACACAAGAACAAGTATCAGCGCTAGATATGGCAAGGAAAGGACAACGGATGGCAACCAATTGAACCGATGCTCTTCAGGCAGCTCACCAGGCTGCTCAAGCTGCTTCAAAGCAAATACTTGATTAAACAGCTGCACTGTTGAACGGAATGATGAAGGGCTGTAGCGAACAAAGTATTGTCCACCAAGGTACATTGCTGCGAGCAAAGCAATGACACGCATGGAAAACATGGCCGTGGCCAGCAATGGATGCCTGCGCGGTCGTCCATGGGAGGCTTCTCTGCGCGCATCGCTTAACCCGAGTTGCTGAGCCAGGCTGTGCACTGCATCCACTTGCAGCTGCAGCTCACGCAAGGGTGCGACGAAAAATCGGAGGGTGGCCAAATAGCCGTCCACCCGGCAGACAAGCTCTGAACATCTCAAGTCACTATGGGCAAGGGCAAAGGAATCGTACATACAGGCGATCTCCACACCACTCAAGTCATCACCCTCAACTCTTGTTCGAAGAAATTGCCAGGCATGTGACAGACTGTCGAAATCGGCAAATGTCACTTCGCAATACAAGAGATCCAGAACCTGATTGGGATCACCTCTCTTTGCAACAGCTTCTTGTGCCAACGGGAGTGACTTCAGCGCTGGCTGCACCCTGTGACTCAACGCAAACCCTGGCTGAGCATCCAAAAAGTCACGCAATGGCAGGCACAGTTCGCGATTGAACTTCTCAAAGTGTCTTCGCGCTTCCAGAAAGTGCTCTTTCAAACTGTTGATGCGCTGGAAAGGGTTTTCTTGGACATCATCACCGAGCAAGGTCGTCATGTTTGGCTGTAGATACTTTGCATACAAGCTCTCCGATTGTACTTCCAGCTTCTTCGACAGCTCTTGCATCCGGTTCAAACGAACCGTGGTGTATCCAATACTCAAGAGTAAACAACAGGCAAACAGCAGAAAAGCAGATGTCGTAGCAATGCCAGTGGACTGCCATATGCTGTAACAAGCTACAGGAGCCAAGCTGAATGCAATCAGAAGCAAAAGATAACGGCTCTCAACTTCTGCCGCTGCCTGTATGAGGATGAGGAGCGCAAGCTCAAGATGCTGGCGCGTAGTATTCATAGCACGGCACAGCCTACTGCCAAACCCAAACCATTGATGCTCCTCACAATATCCATTGTCCGCATCATGAAAGGAACAGCATCCAGGATAGCTGCATGGGAAAGGTCTTTTCTCATCAATTTGCGAGAATTCCCACGGCGTCATGTCAGGTGCCTCGGGCAGCTCATCTTCATCACTGCTGGCACTTGACCGGCCGAACCGGCTCGCCAGCGGGGAGAAGGAGCTGTGCAGCGCCTGCGTGGCACGCATGCCGCGCGGCACGCGCAACACGCGCAGCGGCCACAGGCGCGGCCAACGGTTGCTACGTGAGTGGTGCAACCCTTCGATGTTCACC